TAAAATACTAGAGAAAGTTTCTTGAATAGAGAAAGAAAATCTAGCAAGAAATGTAAAGTTAAGACAGATCGAAAGTTTTTCTATTCATTTCAACAATCATCTGGCCGCACAAGCATAATTTATTTCCCTTTTCATTTGACACTTCTTAGTGAACAATCAATACATCATAGTTGTTTAACAAAGCAAGGAGGGTACTAACTTTACTTTCCTGTTCATCAAGATATGTTGCGCCTCTTACTGAGTCAAACACGCTTTATTTTGTGTACATTAGAGTGTTGTGTTACAAACTCTTTTATGTCCTTTTTCAACATGGCAGCTAGTCCATTTTCTCTTCCAAAAATGTTTGCAGCTCCATCTATTCCAAGCCCTGCTATCCAGTTTCTGCCCGTATTTAATTCTTAGGTTTTCCAGTTTGCTATATTAAGTTTCATGGTAACCTAATGCAGAAGGAGAGTCAGTTGGTACAATTGAAAAGAAGACTCTTTTGTAGCCTTATCTCTTATCTATCTAACATACATTATTAGTTATTCCTCTTTTGATTTATTTGTTAATGCACCCAAAAGGATGCTAACACAAATACAATCTAAAATTTCTGCAGTGACTTGCAGATAACAGGTGTAGTATAAGAAATAAATTCCCTTCATTGTTTGGCATTTTGATATTTGCCGAGAGCATCTCCTACTTCAAATTTATTAAGCAGCTCAACTGAATTTTTAAAATCAGAAAATGGCTTATTGTGCTTTGCAATATTATAAGCTGTGTTAAATAGTTTTAAGTACTGAAACAGTCTTTTATCCATTTTTCGTAGGCACACTGCTTGAAGGTGTGAGCTTTGGAGTTTCTACAGCAATCAGTGTTCATTTGTGTACCGTGAAAGTTTTTAATTTTAATGGTTCACTGAAACATTATGCAGTTGAGTATTTACCTGCTGTTTCTGGATACTTTGTGCACAATCTGTGCCAAGTGAGACCATTTTCATATGATAACCACTGAAATTCATCGCACCACTGCTTACTGAATTGCTTCTTGCTTTCACCCTTTTAAGCACTGTTACAATTGATACCAGTACCTCTTCCTTTATGTTTTCTTCATTCACTTAGCACAGTCTTTTTAGAACATTCACGGCCACATTTCACGACACACGTGACAAATCTGTTTTCTTAAAAAATAACAAGGCACTTTTTTTATTTCTCTAGGACGTTATTGCTGAGGGGGGAATTCACTAGCAAACACGCTTATCATAACTTGATCAGTGAAGTACCATATGGGGCACTAGTCACAATGACCATGTTGAAAGTATCATACACATATACATTTTAACATTGCATGCAGCAAAATAAACACCCGTAATTTCAGTAAGTACCTACTACAAGATTTGGTAAGATATTTCAGAAGTTCACAAAATACTTCACAACTGCATTAATCAGCACGAAACAATGGAACACAAAACCAGGAATCCATTGTTAAAGCATTTTATGTGCTGATGAACCACAAACCATGTAATATGGAAATGAATGTTATACTTGGAGCCCGAAAGTATGGCACAAGTATAAATAGAAAGTAGCCTGTTACAAATAAAAATCATGAAAATAAATTATGGAAAGTATTAACTCTGAATTTCCAAGGTTATTGTATCTCACTCACCAGCTGCAATTTCTTAGTTGCCAGTGGTGATATGTTGACTGTTATTTTGAGCCTTATTGATGGCTGCATTTGATGCAATTTTTTAATATTTGGCATGAAATTGCTTGATGTAATTTTTAAATCACATGGGTCAAAAAAATTTAGCCTATTTCGTAGTTTCCATTCTAGTTTTGCATCCTTTGTGTCTTTTTTTTTTTTTTTTTAATGTTTGTTTTTGCATTTTTCTTTTTAATATTGCACTTACTGCATAAAAAATTTATATATTTTTTAAAAAAATATTATTAATTGTTTATAAATAATTTTAGTGTCTTTCCCCTTATTTTATGATTCCTTTCTGAATTCATGATATAACTTTATATTAATAAACAATTATTTATCAGTTTTATTATTATTATTACTGTGATCAATAGGATCTTGATCGTAGCAATCAAGTGCCACACCATATTCGACTATCACTCCCCAATCGACCCCTTGATCATCATTAGCCCCTTCAAAATTGCATTAAGCTTTTGCATTGCATTAGCTTAATACCAATCTTGTTGGAAATCTCTGCTTTAGACAATGAAACACAATAATTTTTGTGGCTTTTTATGACATATGACAGTGTTGAATTTACTGCAGTGAAAATTATAATATGATGAGAATTGTGAGAGTTGTATAATTACTATGTTTCTGCATATTTCATGAGAGATGCCACATTATTGGTGAACAGTGATTATTATTTTGTTTGTACATACTATAAGTACAAAATGCACTCAGTGTTCACATTTAAGTATTGAATTCCACACCTTTTGTTTCTATACTAGCAAATGCAGCAAAATGTGTAAAGTATGTTTTAGTGTTTGTTAATCGCTTATAAATTTATTAGAAATAAATATGATTTACCTTTAATGTAACCAAATGCAGTGGGTTGTATATTGGTTTGCAGTTTTTTTTTTTTATTATTATTATTTAAAATAAAATATTTTGAGTAAAAGTATTCAATTAAGTGATATTTCCAAGCCCTTCGCATTTCATTTAACCCTTTGACTAGAAATTTTTAAAAAAATTACCCCGTTTTCTATCCAAGTAAACAAAATATGTCATAAGTAAGGTAAATTTAGCATTTGGAATTTTTTGGGCAAACAGTTTTAAAGCCAAAGGCTAGGACACATATGTTGCAGCCGTAGCTAATAGTGCGATACATATGTCCCACACGTAGCAATCGACTTATTATAAACACACCTATTATTGTGGAAAACTTTATATGAAATAGATTTTACATCATATGGTACAGGATAAAGCATTCTTTGCATAGCCCAACATTACACGTAGAGCAACTCGTATGTGTTCTTTTCTCTGTGTTCATTAGTGTGGACAACAGCATCTTAATTTTCCAACTATTGGAAGATGATCCCCAACATTCAGGAGATTCAAAGTACTTTTTAACCCAGCAGTAATTTTTAAACTTTTAGTGGGACATATATGTTTCGTTCGTAGTCAGAGGGTTAAAATAAAAAGTAATATAGTATGAAAGTGTCAAGTGGTGCTTTTAGGATGTAAATTAATTATTATATTTTATGTTCAAAAATGATTTAAATCCTTGTGTACATAATGAAACCCTGTACACATGGGCTATAGATAACTTATCTAGGCATATGTTTTTACTTATATAGAATTCCATGAATTTGCACATTTAGCATCAATCATGTATCGTGTTTTTGATTATTAATTTTTAAGGATGTATTTTTCTATATTCCTCTTTTAAATTCTTTATTACAGATACATTTCTAAGAAATTATTTCTTTTATAATGCTTTCAGTTTCTGCTAGAATTTTTATAATAGGTTCAGTGGAACTTCCGAAGTTTGCATTTGTTAAGAGAATATTATTATTTGTCATGAAACCGAGCTCATCAAAAAATCATCTAATATGTTAGCGAAGGAGTATTTTAATATCTTCTCAAATGTGTGAGTCTCTTTTTGGTACTTTCATATTAAGAGAGCAGTTTAAAAAAGAATGGATTTGCCCACCTTAGTGAAATGTGATACTTTATAATTAATATATTGTATAAAACTTTTAAAAAACATATTTCTTAAAAAAAGGCTGTAAGACGTTATTGTACATGAAAGCACTGCTGAATTAGCTGATATAATTATTACCTATTTTTTTCCCTATTCCTTAGTTGTTCATAAAAGTACTTGATAAAATATTCGTTCTGTTTTTTAAAAAAATTATCAGTCTAGTGGCAGTATAAAAAGTAATGTGTTATATCCTCAAACATATATTGTTGTTAAGAATTAGCAATAGGAACTGTGATATTGGATTATATTCGTTTATAATAAAGAGAATAATATATTTGAAAGTATTCAGAGAATAAACTGCATAATTTCAGTAATTTAGCTAATTAGCCACCTTATTTACTGTATTGGTTAACAGTGCTAGCTACGATATCATTGAACCCACATTCAAATTCTGGAGAAGGCTTGAATATTTGTATTTACTTGTCCCTTCCTATCATGCTATGTAATATTTTTAACTCCATATGTTGTACTCTGAGTAGTTCTAGGTGATGAAAATGGTTAAATAACTGATTATTTGAGTCATTCTTCACCAGAGCTTAACAAGCAAGCATCCAGCCAGCTGGGAAAGCTATTTAATTAATTTTATTTCAGCTTAATTGTAAATTTCTTTTTGATTACAAGTGCACATTTTTGGTGTGTGAAAACATCATTTTATTTGTATCAATATTGATCAGAAGAGTATAGGAATGACTCAAAAAAAAAATTATGGCAGTGCGACTCCAATCAGTGGTATATAACTAAGAGCTTTGAGCATTAGTTATGTACAATCAATTTAGATTGTTAAAGAGTTTTATCCGTCTTCAGACCCCATTTGGCATCACAACCTATAGTTTGAATACCACTGACTGAAAATAATTAATTTGTTTATTTCTGTAAGAAAAAATGGCTAAATTTTAAAAATTTAAAATTTCTCAAACATTATATTCTAAAATTTCTATGAGAATTAAATAATTTTTTTAATCATGCTTTTTAAATGTTACTTTGTAAGTCATTTTTATTTCATACAAAATTTAGTAGACTAACACTTACTGTAACTTTCAGGTTATAAGATATGCCTTAGAAAATTCCTATAATCATAAGTGTTTATAATTCAGAAGTAACTAATATAAAATAAGTCATGAATTTTGTTGGAATTTGAGAATTTTATGTAAAAATAATATGTGCATATTAAAATTTTGTCAAGTTAAAGTCAGGTGTCTTAATTTGTATTTTAAAATTTTTTATTATTAAAAGTTAGATAAAATATGTTGTATGTTCAGTCAGTGTATTCATTCATATGTAATTTTATCATTAGCTCAACTGCCAGACTGTAAACCTGAAGTGAGTTGGATGTTTCAACATTTAGATACTGATGGAGACTTAAAATTATCTCTCCAAGAACTGTATGACCTTGAAAATGATGATCAAGAACATTGCTTACGACCTTATCTTTTAGACTGTGATGTTGAGCGAGATCTTGTTTTGAGTCCATATGAATGGTGTTCTTGTTTCGATAAATCTCGTAAGTTTTATATTTTGCTGTTCTTGTCAATTACCATAATTTATATGACTTCAATCATAGCTTGCATAAAGTGCTCTTGAATGTTAAAAAATCAATTTACTTTTCTCAAATATACGAGTATATAAGAGTAAATGAGTTCCCCCCCTTCCCTATAATTCTCTTAAAATTTAACTTCAGTTCAGAAATCATCAATATGTAGAAAAGTAAATAATGTATTTTGATCCCAAAATCAATAATGGCATTTTTAACCCATTAGCCGCTGGTGTTGCGTCGACACAACGGTCAAAATAAATGCTTATATAAATATAACTACCTAAGATATTTTATACCTTTTTTGTGTAGGGAATATTATGAAGATTATTTCTGTAAAAAAATGTTTGTCTTCAACAATCATTTTGTTTATAATAATTAATCTCATACTTTAATCAAAATTTTCTACCGGGTATTTTTGCTGAAAATATTTAACGAAAGAATCGCCGTCTTTATGAGTGATCTATTTTTAGTCAAGGTCACCGTTTATCAGAACATTACATCAGTCAGATGTTTATATTTGTGTTGGGAAGCAAGGGAAAACAGGTGTTGCGCTGACGTAATGTCAGCAGGAAACGGGTAGTCAATCTCCTTTTTCACTCATTCCTTTCGATGTTCTGGTTCATGTTTTGGTTGTTTAAAAATGCTTAGAATGAGGTATCTTACATTAGAAGAAACCCTTCAAAGATTTTTTGATGAAGAACCGGATAATGATAATGTTAATAATGACTAGAATGAAACTGATATTGTTGTTGTTCCCTCCAGAAATTGCAGAAACTACAAGGAATGTTTCTTTTCTCATGAAAATAATAACAAATATTAAATAAAGGGTTATTTTACACTTTTATCTTGTTGAAGATAGTGACGAAAAAGAAACGAATGGCAATGTTTTAAATAATGATAATGATAATGATATTTTACCAAATGATACCACTGGGGAAGTTGAAATTCACTTAAGAAGCAAGTTTCAGCCTTCTAAAAGCAGTTATAGTCATACTAAAAAGTTTAAAAAGCAGAAGATTGAAATCTTGAAGTGGATAAAAAAGGAACTGTTAGTTATGTCTCAAGAAGAACATGAAGAAAGAGACAGAAGAGAAATTATAAAAGACAAAATACAAGGTAAAACTAGTGCACAGATTTTTGATTTTCTTTTAGACATTTACTCTCTTTTCATTGAACAGAGAAATATATACGCTCAAGAAAAAAAAAAAAAAAAAAAAGCCCAGAATTTATTGCATCTGAAGCCTATATGAGAAGATTTATTGGAATATTATTGCTTACAGGATATTATTCTTTACCTCAAGAAAAAATGTATTGGTCTTTTGATAAGGACATTTCTGTTCCTGTTGTATGAGAATCGATATCACGTTTGCAGTACAGGAATATGAAGCAGAATTTACATTTGACAATACTGATAAATTATATGAGGTGAGACCGTATCTAAACTTACTAAATATCACCACTATTTACTACTGGAAATATAAAGTCTCTTTTAGATTTCAGACACGAGAATGCATTATTCCTTTTGCAAACTCCTATCGAGAGTGTAGAATTAGCCAGAAATAGATCAGCAACAGGAAGACCTAGTAAATTCAGCATTCAAAAAAACCATTGCATGGAGATGGTAGGCATTTTATCGTAAAGTCCGTTTGATAACAAAAGACTTTCGTTGTAAAGAGTACCATAGCCAGCCTGTTTATAGATGCAGAGTATGTAATGTAGCTTTACATCATGATTGTAATCAAACTTTTCATGCTTGAATCTTTCAATGAAATAATCTGTATTTGTAAAAGAAATACAATGTATATTTTAATATTAAATTAATTACAGGTAAAGTGATCTGTAGATTTATAAAACGTTATACAGCTAAAAAGTAATCCTGCGCTCCACTCAAAAGAAACATCACACGAGTACAATCCTACTCACTAAACATCCATAGTCTTATTCCGCTGACGTTACGCAAACGCAACACTCGCGTTTTCCACAGTTAAGAGCATTTTTATTTTTTTATTTTAATGTAAATTTATGTTATAAATGCTTAGTTTAATATTTGTTATTATTTTCATGAGAAAAGAAACATTCCTTGTAGTTTTGGCGGTTAATGCAAAATAATTTTTCAGAGCGTCCGTGTGCAGCTGCTCTTAGAAGAACTCCACAGGGATTGGTTGGTATGTATCACATTCTTTAAATTTTGATCGTATGAATTTTTTGTGTGTTTAAATCATTTGCGTAAGTAAATGTTATTTAATTTTTGTGGAAAGATTGCTATGCAGAGTTAATTTATACAAGACCGGTAACTAAGTAATGATTATATATATAAAACTGGTAACTAAATAGTGATCATTTTAAGTAAGACCTATTTCTTGTAAACTCAGGACAGAAAATATTTAAAACAGCCTGTTTCATTCTCATATTAAGATATATCCTGTGCATGCATATAAGGTTTTTCTCTGTCCTTTCCGCATGCCTTTGTGGTGTAATTGGAAACATACTTGGCATGTATTTCAAGAGGTCCGGGGTTTGAATCTGCAGTGAGGGCGATGTAGATTACTTCAGTTTCCTGCATCAAAATTCCTAATGATTCTGCAAGTGGTACCCAAACTAAAAGATGGTCGACAATAATTCATCACTACCACGACTTGGCAATTGGATTCTCTAATCCCCAGTCGCTTTTTAAAAGGGGGGAGTATATATGTTTTCCCCCTCCCTCCTCTCCACATGCTTTCATGGTGTAATTGGAAGCAAACTCAATGCATATTCAAAAGGCCCAGGGTTCAAATCCCGACGAGGGCAATGCACATTTTTGACGTCTTCAGCATCAAAAACTCAAATGATTCTACCCAGACCAAAGCAACCTATATTAAAACAAGCCCGTGTGCTTGTTGACCTTTTCACATAAATTATGCAGGTAACAAGCCATGTAACTGTCATGACAACTGTATGCATATATAAAGTGTGTGCATAAAAATAATTTTTATACATCTGGCAATTAAATAATGAGACTGATTGATTACATTATGAGTAAGTCATTCAAATGACCAGCCTTCATTCATGATCTGATAATATTCCAATATCACCTACCTACTAATGGCACCATTAATTTAGTTAATAAAAAAGTATTATTATTGCATTAGTAGTATGAACATTAAGTTTTGTTTTAAATTCAGAAAAAGTGCTATTGAGTAGTTAAAAGGTGATAATTAGTTTATCTGATGCATAGATATTCGTATGGTTTCGGAATGATCTTTGAAACAATTCAGGATGGAACTAGGCATGCATTTCTGTCTGTGTCAAGTTTTATTGAAAGACTTAGACAAGAAAAAGTTCACCTCTCAATGTAAATCTAATAACAAAAAGAGCTTGATAATCTTTTTGTCTGGTGACAAAAAAAAAAAAAAAAAAAAAAACATGACTGTGTTCAGTGTGCAAAGGAACCCATCAAATTTTTCAGAAAAATTATTTTTTTATTTTAAAATCACTCATTTAAGGATGAAACATGATATATTCATAATAATCCTATATATGAATGCCAAAAGTCTGAATGGAAATTACTGTTATCATATAAAAAATTTAGAAGTCATAAATGAAAATAATTAAATAATTTTTTATGAATTTGTTTTAGTACCCTTTGGTGTATTAAATTATTGTGAAGCACTTGAGGACTGTCTACCTAAGGGGAGGGATGTCTTCATGAAGGACTTTCTAAGTGAAACTGGCTAGTATACATGTTATACATGGGGAAAACTATAGAAATGTGCATGCAGCCTGCTAATTCACGTGGATTCAAACCTTAGACAGAACTATAAGTATTAGTGACTCTACCGCTCTACTGCTGGTAGGCCTTTGTTTCTGATGAAGAAATTGTCAATGCAGTTTTTATATTAAGTGTGGAATACCTATCTGTGAATGAAGTCCAAGGTCAGATTTCTTTTTCTGAGATTTGTCCTTTTGTAATTCTCCCTCCCTTTTTTTGTTACTTGAGCTTTCATGTGAAAGGCCCATCTCTGATGATGTTGGAAACACGTAGAAGGCTAAAACATGTTCTTATTGTTTATTCTCAGTTTTATGAAATCAATCTCATTATTGGACTGTGCATATTCTTCCAACAAAATATCTGCAGTAATTTTTATTTTGAGTTATGGGAAATCAGCAATATAAACTATGTTGTTGAAGAGTAAAATCTTATTAAATTGACATTTTAAATTGGCATGCTGTAGGTTTGTTGAATATTAAAAATAAAATATGTGAAGTACTTGATAATTAGAAATATTCTTCCTGCATTATTATGTGTCTATTTTAAATTGCTTGCAATTCCATTTGTTATACTGCTAATATTACAGGACAGCTTCTAACTCTGTTAGGGTATAAGCATTCTATGCTTATTAACCTTAAAACGGGTTACACTTTTTCTTATGCTAATTCCAGTTAAATTCACACATTAAATCTGTTATGATTTTCAGTGTAATTTCTGGTAATAATAAGATAAAATTAGTTGTAAAACATACTGGCCAATTCAAAACTAGTAAATTGCATTTTGCTCTTTTATTCAGGTGGTTACACACCACTTTGTGATGGTGATGGCTATTACTTACCAACTCAGTGTCATATCGGATCAGGTACTTGTTGGTGTGTTGATCGTCATGGTGTTGAATTTACCAACACTCGACGTCGAGGACGTCCGGATTGTGGTAAATATTAAAAATGTTTTAATTAATGAATATTTTTATCATTAAGTTTAATCACTAGTTACTCATTAATAATTACAAAAATTAAGATTTTGGATGCTTTAATTGCACTTTAAAATTTTCCAGTATTTTTCCTAGCATGCTATCAATATTCTTGTCAGAATTTTTTGAAGGTGATTACAAGAATTCACAACAGAATAAAAATTTGTATGAAAATATATGTAAAATTATAGGATGTACTTGTAACATTTCAGTAAGCATCTGTTAAATGTGAGTTAATTTTCAATAGTAAACTGAAGTAGACTGAGTAAGTGAGAAGGAATTTTATTTTTGCAGTATGCTTATTCACATGTTAACTTTAGGTTTTATTGTAAACTAACCTGTTTTTGATAAATTTCTGTTACAGATGTTATGGGAGCAATGTTTCAAATATACTTTGCAGTTCATTGTAATTTTCATCAGTTTTAATGTGAATCATTATTAGTAGTATAATGTTTTGAAATTGCTAATGAAATAAAATAAAGAAGAAGCAAAATTATCTGCTCAAATTTATTGTTAACTTATTATTGATATTCAATTATATATGTGTTAGTTTTCTACATGTTTAAAATATTTAAAAAATAAAAAGGTGAGAAATTATTGCGAACTACAAGTCCATAGTTATCTGTTTAAATAATTAAATGAGATAAACAGGAGGAAATTAACAATTTATTATAAAAATATAATGACACTCATCAAAATAAATATCTGTTTATAAGTTCAAGGAGAGTGCAGGTCTTAAGCAGTTCTTAAATGCACAAAAATATGAATTCCTAAAATCACTCTCAGAGAATAATTCTAAATCACAATTCAGTTCTCTTTGAACTGCTAATTGTCACTGTTAATTAAGTATTGACTTGGCCTAGTTGCATGAGCCATATTTATTTGGTATTCAGTATGCAAAGGGCATGAGCATCTGAAAGCTTCAAGAAAAATTGGTTGTAGGGCTTCAGAAATAGGTTTTGTGGAATCATTTTGGAAGAAGTCACCAAGTTGGCAAAAAATTCCCAGTTGTCACTAAAGCATGTGAGGAGTGTATTTGCCCGTATCTCATGTTTTACTTGAGTTGTTTTTACAATTTAAATGCTTGACTCTGATTTTAAAAGTCTACAGTTCTGTATAAGAAATAAACACTTGTATACAAAACAAATTCAGTTGCTCACAAATTTTAAAACTATTACCTGAAAAGTAACAAATAAATAAATATTTGAATAAGAGAATGCACATTGCTGTGTTATATAAAGAAAAAATGCTGTTAAATTAGTTAAAACTATTTGCAGAAATTCGCAACAAAATAAAAATTTGTATTAAAATGTATGTAAAGTTATAGGATGTACTTGCAGCATTTCAATAAGCATCTGTTAAACATAAGTTAACTTTTAACAGGAAATTGAAGTAGACTGAGGAAGTGAATAGGTACTTTATTTTGCAATATGCATACCCTTATATTAACTTTTAGGTTTTCTTGTAAACTATTTATGATAAATTGCTGTTACAGAAGTTATGGGGACAATGTTTCAAATATACTTGGCAGTTCATTATGATTTTCATCAGTTTCATGTGAATTGCAGTTCATATGAATCTGCAGTTGATCAGTTATGGATACACTAAATGGAAGTGCCTTTTTTGTTTTGTCATGGAAAATGATGTCACTGTGAAAGTTATGAAGGATAAGATTAAATATTATATCTATAATATCAAAAATAAAAAGAAGAGTATTGAAACACTTGAAAGTTTATAACATATGTATGGTGGTAAAACACTTTGGCATGCTTCAGTATTTCACTTCAGTGATGTAACACATGTGTGACTAATAAAACATTAGTGAGACTGGCTATTCACTAATGAGGTTTCAGGTGTCAGCATGACCAATGCATAGGCAAACAGTGAATTATTAAGAGATCATCTTAAAAACCCATTTGCAGGGAACTGTTAACAAGAAAGACAAAATTTCCTCATAAAACAATGGGTTTTACTCCAGGGCAGTGCTTGGTTGCATGTTGCTGTTATTATGGCATTAGAAGTGCTGTTGAAAATCATTAGAACAGCCCTAGAATACCTTCTATGTTATAGCTGATTTCTGAGCATTCTCAACAGTGTGACTAGACAGCTATGTGGTAAAAGGTTACCATCAGAAGACGTGAAAAATAGCATCACAGCAGTCAGTGTTTCATGGTTTTCAGTTATTTTTAAAACACAATAAATGTGCAATTTAAGATGAAGGATTGTGGTTTGAAGATATATGTTTAAGATTCATAAGCTTGTCTGATTCTGAACAAAAGAACTAGTATTAAAATACGTATTTCAATAAGTCTGCATATTTTATCTGAAAATTCTACTCTGGAGAATAGATTAGATTCACTGAAAAATAAGAATCCCCTATGTTTGATTTCATCTCATTTAGTGTAAGAATTGTAATGGTTATCCAAACATTCTTCTTTCTTTAATGTTAAAACTAATTTCTTTTTTAAATATATAATCTTATGTAGTTGTTATTGCACATCTATATCAAAAGAAATGTGAAATAATTGATTTAAATTAGATGATATGGAAGAGAAATTATTATTTAGGTAAGCTGAAAGTTTACCTAAATAATAACTTCAAATTCTTTAATTCAGGTTAATTTAATTAGGTGCAAAAGAGAGTAATGAGAAAGTGAATAAATATTCCCATGTTTTTTCCAGATGAATAAGGAATTTTACTTTAAATAACAAACAGGAAAATTCAAAAATAAAACGTGATACTAAATATCTGGTTGTAACAAAAGTTTCCTCCCAAAAAACTTTCTTAATAAAGTTAGGAAAGAAAGCATGAAAGCAGTACCTTTAATGATGGCAGTAATCACACCCAAATCTATAATTTTCTGCCAAAGTTTTGGTAGTTTTTCAAAGCCTTCGGCCGAGATACATAGTGGCCGCGAGTCAAAAAACAAGTCAACCTCATTTTAGGCATCCTGTGCATAAGGGAAGATAGCACCAGCAAAATGTAGCTGCAGGTGTGAAAAAAGGTAGAAATCCAAAGGAGCGATGTCAGGGCTATATGGTGGGTGTAGCAAAAGTTATGGATACACCAAATGGAAGTCCAGCTGGTTAATGGAGACACGTGTGGTCTACCTTTTTGCGACAGAAGTCAGTGGTTTTTCTTGATAGCAGCATCAATACATATGTAGTATCTTACTGTATACCTTACTGTCAAGGGATTTACCTTCTCCCAGATAATCTTTGTGATATTACCACAGCAGTATCACCAGATACAAAGCATAATCTTTTTGTCAGTCAAATTGCACTTTACGACACTGCCAATGTTCTTCACTGGGCGCCGGCCAATCCCTTGAAGTAAATCCAGTTTTCATCACAAGAGACTATCTGGTCGGACATTTTGTTCTTGCATTGATATTTGAGCTGATTAGTGCAAGCTCAAACACATCTGTCCGTATCTGCTTGAATTAGTATATGCGGCACCCAGTTATTTAACTTGTTTGTCAAGTTATGCGATGCATAGCACAACAAATGGACATAGCACTACTACTATCTAACTCCTTAGCAAACTCTCGAGTGGTTGTATATTGATCTTCCACAAGTTCTTGCAAGCGGGCCTCATCAACATCTGTAGGCCGGCCAGAGCATTGTGCTTCTTGAATGTCATAGTCCTTATTTTTGAACTTTTTGGCACCAAACCTTCACAATGTCATATGATACAACATTAGTACCTAAAGCTGTACACATGATTTGGTGATATTCTGTAATGGAATGTTTGCAACAGAATTGGAAGTAGGTCTAATCTGGTGGTGTGGCAGTTTCATTTCAGACACCTTGTACTTAATGATAACAATATTTTTTTACAAATTTTACAACACAGTTTTCTAAAGCAAGTCTCTTTCTTTCAAATGCCAAAAATTGTTATTTGACTGATCATATAGCAATGAGATTGTGCCACTGGAAAATTAATTTTTAAAAGGAAGAAAATATACAACAATATCAACTTCACTTTATTTAAAAATAAAGTTTCAAGTGTTATGTACATTTAACTAGTTTTCTTTGTACAATTACTTTTCCTGTATATGGTAACATGCAACATTTTTATCAGACATGTAGCCATAATTCTTATTCAACTGTCATATGAAATAAAGGCAAAAATATCAAGGTTAAGCATAAATAATTAAAAGTTAAATTCTAGCTACTTGTATTTTGAAAGCAATTGAATCCCTGCAAAACATTAGAGAATCTTGGGGAAGAGGTTAAAAATTTTGCTGAGAAAATTCCTTCTCCATATCACCTAAAATATGTATTATCTGTATATTATATTTTTTTCCATTATGCTACAGCTGAACAAAATTGCTTGCTCATTACCTGCAAGATGGAAATTTTAAATATTGCAAATGGCATCAAATTGTTTGTTATATAATGGTTGGAAGAATAATGAACTTAATTGTGTGCATTTTTAATGAAACATTTTCTTCAGAATTTTCAAGAACAAACAGGAAATAAATTTACGAAAATCAAAAAGAAAGTAAAAGACTTATTCATAACTGCTAGTATGCTTATCCTTGGTGATCAGTAACACTGTAAAACGTACTCAGTTCTCTTATCATATTTTTGTAAAACTTACTCAGTTCTCTTACATACTTTCAATTAATTATGCCCTTAAGTACTTTTTTCACTCATTTATTTTACTTTTTTAACCAGAGGGTCTACTTAGAAGAGGTCAGTATCATCATGAAAATGCCAGAGATGACGACCAGGAAGATGATAGCAGTGAAGAAGAGGGGTCAGCTGATCGACCTTTAGACTTTTGATTTATATGAATTTCAGTCTGCAGATGCCCCTTTTCAAAACTTTTATTCCATAGCTTAAATTTTAATCACAGAAGCTTTTGTCTAGTGCACTAAACATCATGTTAATTTTTTGCTTGTGTCATAGAAATATGAAGTTAACTTCAGGTACACATATCTTATATGTCCCCATGGCTTATATGTTAATGTGCTGTTGTAAGCTTTTGTAAGGAGTTTGTAATTTCCATGTGTGGGAGTTATACTGTTATGCCAAGATGCAATGCATTACTTTTATATTTCAAATGCAAATATTAGGAAGTTTCATTAGAGGTATATTAGTATTTAAAATGTGCATTGCTTTATGAGCACGGTTCCTTCTCAATGCTCCCTGCCCTCCTTATTTTGTTGTTTCCTATGTTTTCTTATGAAAAAGTAAGAAGTTCCAATATATATGAAATGTGCATGTTTATATATACCTGTGCACTGCTTTGTTGCATTTAATTCATCCTGTTTCTTACTTCTGGAGGGCTTAATGTATTTAGCATGTGATTATATTTGCTGAAAGTTGTAGCTTAGAAACAAACCAGTGAATTAAGTCATTCATCTGGATAATGCTTGAGGAAAATTCGTAAATTCCCATTAATATGCATTTTTAGAAACAATTATTTCAGATTTCAAATAAAGATAATTTTTATGCTTGTATGTTATTTTCAGGCTGTTCATAGGAATCATAAAATACATTTAAAAATATATGTATTTTTATGATAGTTTAATTCCTGTTCACAATAGACAGTGGAATAAATGTGACATTTTTTCATATTTCTTAAATATTAAATTGATGTTATTTCTGTATATAAAAAAATTTGTAATTATAGACCTAATAATTTGTAATACAACCCTGTTATTTCTAAAATTGTATCTGCATGTAGTAAGCTGTAAAAATGAATTTATATTATATGTATTTTTGCATATTTGCAGTTGTGAAATTACTTTTAAATTGAAAGCAAATATTTTCATTAAAAATTTGTTCTTTATGTTAAATTGTAATATTTAACAATAAGAAGAATTTAATTATTCAAGTAATAGCTGTGTGTTTTACTTAGGATTGTGGACATTTTTGCTATTTCTTTTATGGAAATTATTGCATAAATCACAGGTTAACCTGCATTATTATTAGCAGAAAATGATAGCAGTGCACAGGTAAATGTCATATGTATATTTTTTTAGTTATTTTTATGTATTGATTATATTATTGTTTAGATGGCTGTTGTAATACCTTATTTGAGGATAAGGTTTTTATTTTTAATATTTAAATTGTTCTATAATATGTAAAAGTCTGGAAAATTTCTTGACGTTTGTCATTTTTGCCCACAGAAGCAATGTATATGCATTAGTGCCAAACATTCATGAAACAGATTAGTCTAGAAATTTAATCAGTTGTGTTTTATCCAGACATCCACACCACTGTCTTTGCTGTAGTACTCTATTATAAGTGTTACTGTTGTAAGCCTTGTTTTTCCCGTATAACTTTGTACGATATTTTCATAAATTGTGATAGTTTTGAATATAAAGTTATGCAATAACTTTGAATATTTAATGCATTGAATTGAGCCATCTGTGTAAAAATTTTATTCACAATTATTTTCAGAAGAATATTTTTCCTTATTATTTACCTCATGTTTCTTGAGCTGACTAATGCTGATATGCTCGGCTTTCATTTTGATGTATCATTTCTATACACTTTTACCCATATTATAAGTGCCTCTCACCTCCCTCCCAAGCTTTTTGTTGAACATATTATCTCTATTATTTAATTTTTCTTAAAATGATGCATTATTATTTATAATAGTGTATTCTCCCTACTCATCCTCCTTTTGAACTGTTTTTAATTATTATTTAATTATTATGTGTGTATATACATATATAATTAACCAATATTATGATACTTAATACTGTCTTAAGAAAATTGTAAAAAAAAACATAGCAAAGTGTTTAAAAGAATGCAGCATAAGTCAAAAGTAAAATGAAAGTAATTTATTAAAAAGTCCACAATGAAGAAACAGATTTGTAAATAGCTTTAACATCAGTAACAGCGAATAATCTGCTTAATAGAAAAAGGTTCACCATAGTAAAATAACAAAGAACAGTATTGTTTTAAGAATAAAATTGATCAAAAACTCAAGTATGTTATTAGTGTTTACTCAAGTATATTATAAGTATTTATTATAAGCATAATGGTTGAAAAAGCTTGAAATTTTAATTAATATGAATTATAAAATGTTTAATAGAATTTAGAATTGATTGTTTTTACTGCAGCAAAAGTATGCGAATAATCATATTGAGGGGGGGGGGCGAACTTAAGTAATATACTTGGATAAAAGAAGTATGAAGTAATATTATTTTAGTAATATAATTTTTGGCTTCTGTTTATTATTATTGTTATTATTATTATTCCAGTTAAGATTGATGATAAGTATTATGTTTGTCTGCTCATACTTGTAATTCAGCCTCCCCTCTTTCTCTCAAATTTTTATAAATTTGTGTTATCTCTACTCTAGCTGTTACTTTTATGTTTTTATATTCAGCTATTTTAGTGTTGTATAAATGCATGTTTTTATTCCGTATTTGTACTTTATTTGTAATTAATTTATTTTAATTGCCTTTTCTTATTCTTTTTAGTAGTAATCAGTGGCGTAGCAAGGGGGGGCAAGGGGGTGTATGATGCCTCGGGGTGCCAAATGGTCTCCAAACATCATTTTCATCCTATCACTTTTTTTTTTTTTTTTAAGGGGGTTGCGCCAAAAAGGTATTTTGCCCCGGGCACCAGTTATGCTCGCTACTCCACTGGTAGTAATGTATATATTAATGCAACATTTTTATATAATAAGTTGTATATTTTTGCTATGGTTTGTTTTTGTATACAAAAATGTACTTTAACTGTCTCATGTCTGAAAATAATTATGAATATATATTATTATTTTCTTTTTTTTTTTTTTTTTAATCTTGAAAAAAATTCTTTTGCAGTAAACTTTTATTCAAAATAGGAAGAGAAAAAATTCAGTATTTTTTGCAGCTTAGTTTTCTGCTGCATTGAATGTTCATACATAACATTTATACATTCTGTGATTATTAAGATGTATGTTTGCTGATGATATTAATTTACTGTAGATGATGTCTTTCAATTTTGATAGTTTCCATTGTTTAGAACTTGCATTTCTGCACTTCATGTTTTGCATCTTTGTGTTCATAACTGCAATTAGCTAAGATGCTAAGTATGATTGTGTTTGTGTTTTGTATTTGATAAAGTAGATCTGAATATTTGGAAGAAAAATTTCATTAGGATATTTAATACATGAATTTTATATTTCATATGCATTATAAAAATAAATTCAGATGAAAGATTTTTAATACATTTAAAAGAAATGATGAAGAAATTAAATTTGAAAATAATAGCAAAGAAATGGCATATATCCTGTGTGCATTTTTAATTTGTTATTGTACTTTTAAGTTATTTGCAGGTTGTTAATAATATAGTTTCTACTTTCCAAAATATATTTAGGCCTAGCTTTTTGCTTATGTGGTACAAAAAATCTGAAAATATATTCAGATTTTGCTTAGCAAAGTAGTGATGAGAGACTTTGTCTTTGGAAGCTTTTTTTTTTTTTTTTTTCCCCTAACATTACTATCTTTTTTCAGCAGTACAAACCAACAGCAAGTTTTGAGAATCCTTTAAAATATAAAAAACATTTTCATGTCAACTTTCTATGTATTAAGTTCTAAGTTTAATCTGCAAACTTTATGCAACTTGGATTATTTCTACTGTATAGAGTGGGGAAATTTTCTTTTCTAATGTATGTCTTGGAAGTTAGTGAATAATTATACTGCATTTTCACCGACTTGACTCTTTATGTATAATTTAAAATAATAGATAAATATTTCTGTTCAGATGCATAAAGTGTGATATGTAGAGAATTTGGTTCTGTTGCACTAACATGTTATTTGGATAAGATTTAATTTGTAGAAATCAGTTCCTAATTTTATAAAACATGCAGTAAGGTTCATTGAAAGCAAAATATATATCTTCAGAATAAAGATTTCTTGTTTGTTAAGTTTATCTTTCTAAAAATAGAGAAGACATTTCAAAATGTTTGTTTTGATATTTTTTTGTGTGTGTGCTACTGGTTTTCAACCATAATGAACTTTAAAAAAAAATGTAGAATTTGAGTTTTCATGAGAAATACTTTGAGGCTGATCAAATATGGTTTTCGTGAACTAATTTCTGTTTAATCTTGCTAAACCAAAATTCATGTAATCAAAGATATCAATTCATAAAAAAAATTTCATAGACCCGTGATTCAAATACTGAATAATAATCAACTGAAAATTATTTTAAAAAAAAATTATCTCTCTATTGAATTATTTTTTAAACAATAAAAAGGCTTAAATTATTTATGTGCTATATGATGAAATAATGTGAAATTTCGCTTTAACATTCTGATTAAATTGAATATCAGTAGTAATATATTTGTCTACATTTCGTAATCTTTTAAAATACGCATATATTACCTTAGCTGCAAATTTATTTAGGAATATTATTTAGTCTGCTATGAGAGTTTTATAAATTTGGAATGTAACTTATTAAAGAAACAGAAACTTCAAAAGCAAATTGATAAGCTTTAAACTGAAATGATTTAAAGAGAAGCTAGAAATCTTAAATCTTTTCCAAACAAGGAAGAGTTCCACTTATGTAATTATGGGTACTGTTCGCCACATCCAGGTATACTGCAGCTGTCTGTAATGGGTTAAAAGACAGTATTTTATAATGGACAGCATGTTGAGTACAGTGGGACAGCTAGAGGGAGGCCGAGAGAGACATTTGTTCCTGGGTGCAGCATCCAAGAATTGCAAAATGATGTTGTGAAATTTTATGTTAAATGTTTTTGGTTCCTGGCAGACATAAGGGTGTGTGAAATTCTCAGTTGTCCCTGGGTACTGAAACCCCTATATGATTATCGGGTTTCCATTCTGTTTTACTCTTTCTGCAAAGCAGAAGTGAATGCAACTTGTAACAGAAGAATGTGTTGTTCTTCATTGTCTCATAAGAATTTTTAAAGTGTGCTTATAACAAATAAGGGAAATAGAAAAAAATGCTGAATGAGAAATGCATAAAAAAGAAATAAACTTAAAAATCTAATTCAGCCAAAAATATGCATAATTCAAATGGCCAACCTTTTTTAAATGTATATAAACAGGAATATATTTTTAAAGATCAGATTTATATATAATTTCAAAGGAGAAAGATTATTTTATGTAATGTAATATTAATAGTTTTTTGTTATATTTATCATAATATTTAAAAAAATTGTGTAAATAATTTTATAAGTTTATCATACAGCTCTTCAAAACTGATTCCCAAATAATATTCATTCAGTGAACTTTACTGTAGATGCACTTTTAGAAAAGTATGTTTATAGTTTTGCTCATTTGCACTATATGTTAAAAATTATCACTTAAAAGTTATGTATATGTATGTATTATTTAGTAAGTCTGTTTTATTCTAGTCAATTTGTACATAGGTCTTTATGTTATTTTGTTTATTAGGTGTGTTTTATAAACCACGAAAAGTTGTGACAACAAAATCAAAGTCTTCCATTTGAGTTTTGTTTATTTGATTTTGTGGGGTGCATATTTGCATGTCTCATTAATTTATTATTATTATATGTTAACTCAAATTATCTCAATTTCCTTCCAGTATTCAGTGTTCAGTGTCATATTGTTAAAGCATTCACAAGCTTTGTTGAACTGGTAAATGTTGTCTTACTAGAAACTGAAGTCTTTGTGTTTTGTATTTATTGTATCTAAATGTAAGTTCTTGCTGAGTGTACATTTTAATTACTGTAAATTTTTTTTAGCAATTCAACAATCGTGTATATGTTTTTCTTTTTTCTTGCATTTTATTGTTTTAACTTGTGAACAGATTTTGAAAAAGTGTCAAATTTTTATTAAAATTATGGAGGATTTGATATTTGTTTTTGTTTATTTGTTTGTTTGCTTCCTTAAGAAAATGTTTGTTATTCTTAGAAGTGTAATGTGTGTGTGTTTTGAAAAAATAATTTCATAAAACAAAGATTTGAATTCTTTTAATAGTTCTGTTTAAGATGCAAGATTGTACTTACAATATGTTGCACAGTTTTGTATTTGTTAGCTTAAATCTGAAATGAAATTCTTCATAATCATTTTCCTTTTTACATAATGGCAGTCTTTTTACTTCAGAGAAAACAAAAGGTTAATTTATTAAAAATATTGTTGCAGGACTGTAAGAATTATTTACTATTTAGATGATATAGAAAGCATTGTATTTTATTTTTTATTCTGTTTATTTTTTTGTTTTTAATTATTACTGATCTTTTATGGTACTGATCCTTTATACTTATTTGTTATTGTTTATATTTTTACTAATTTCTAATAATTATCTTTTATTACCTCATATTGATTAATCTGATGAAAAATAAACAGATCTGCAGCTAATTTTGAAATCAAAAACTTTTATACAGTAGTATACAAAAATTAAACAAGTTTTCATATCTTTTATTAATTTTTGTATTTTTTTATTTATTTTCAGTAACAAATTTTTTTAGTTTTATATTTTTTCCCTTATAGTTTTAAAGATAGTTTTGTTAGTTTGTTTCATTTTCCTTATAGTTTTGTTAGAAATATGCTTTTAGAGTCTATTAAAACTATATATGTATGTATACATATTTTGTGAAGTAATATCAAAATAAATTTTTTCTGATAGTTTTTTAAATGCACTAGCATCAAGATTTACGATAACTCTTTTTTCCAGTTGTATAACATCTATGATATTTATTTTATGCTTTATTTCTAAATGGTGTGTTAATTGAAGTAAACTTCAGAACTTCAGAACTGTTTAATATTTTGTGAGTAATTCTAAATGAAAAAATTTTAGCATTATTTACCCTAGTTAAAATTTTAAATGTTAGAGCTTGGAACTTCCTTTTTTTTAAAATAAGGCTTTTCCTTATATTTTGATTTTTAGGCATACAGGAAGGATAATGTCATTGATGAATTGAAAATTGTTGTTTTTAGTAAGATATCATTTCAAATTCTGAGAATTTCCTTCCTACTTAATTTTGTAATAATGGGTGTTATATCCTTAAAATATTTACATACACACTTATTTTAATGTAAACAAAAGTAATATATATTTATTTATATATATATATATAATTTATAATGAATAATGTAAAATGTGTTTTTAATTTATTTTTTTATTTATTTTCCTAAGTGTAAGAAGTAACTTCTTTTTAAATACCATTTGCAAGCATAATAATAACTAGTGAGAAATATACATTTTCTGTATTGATATAAAAAAATCATTCTTATAATGAATAGCATTCATATTCTTTTCATATTAGCATCATTTGGAGGAGCTAACATATAAACATTTACATACATTTTTTGTTAAACTTATTATGCTGGAATTATTTAAAGAAAATACATTGACGGTTAAATTGTTTTAAATTAATTATCAGTAACTAAATATTAGTGTATGATTTGTATTAAAATGACTAGATATTCAAGTTTTTTATTAAATTAACTTTTCTGCTAAAAACACTTAAATGCATAATACTTTGAGCACTCTTATTTCAGCCTCAATTGTAAAAATGACTAGAAAAATTATAAATTATATTGACTAGGTAAATTATAAATTACACTCACTAGGTACATAGGTATAATATATCTGAAATGTGTGTTATTTGAAGCATGATGTTTTTGGAAAAGAGAATGTGTAGTAGTAGAAAATGTTAATAATCTGTTAGAAATAGGTTTAGGATTTTGATGATTTCATATTATTTGTGTATTTTTATGAAATTTACTTAATTTTTTTTTAATTTCTGTAAAGCAAAATCTGTTTTATTCAAAGTTATGTCAATTTGTCTTTTTAGGGGGGTGGGAAGCCTTGTTTCATATAAATTATTAATTTAAATATATGTTTGATTAATCTAGTTCTTGTTTTAGATATACCTTTAAGCAGAGTGCCAGTTTTCAAAATGGTTTAATTAATCATCAAAATCCCATCCCTGATAAAGAGTGTAGTGAATTCTTTTGTTATTTGTACTGCAGTCATTATGCACTTTGTAATCTGTCATAAAAAGTGTATAGTCTATGAAAAAGTATTCTACAGTTGTGAAAACTATTCATAATTTAAAAGTTTTGAGTAACTGTGTGCCCGATAAGATCACATTTAAAGCAACAACAGTTACGCTGCCAAAAATATAAAAAAAATGATTTTAAGAATTGTTCATTAGAATTGTTACAAGTTTTGTACTAGCTTGTGTGTAGTTGTGTAGATATTGCAAGCAAATACAACTGTTTGTTGCTATAAACTGTCCATTGCATCCAATAAAAAATGTTTTAAAAAGAATATGTATTGTACTTTTTAAAAATTGCTTCCTGTTTTGTATGGTCTGATTATAATAATCTTTGTCTTTTAATGATTAAATAAGCAAATAATAAATTATACCAAAACTTTTGAAAAAGAAAGGAGTTTTCAGATTTAACCAAAAAAATTAATATGAAAAGGCATCATCTAAAAAATAATAAGTATTGTTTTCAATTTCACATAACTAATAGAAAAATATTTAGTTTGGGAATGATAAAGTTAAATTATTTGTGTATCTTCTAACAGATTTTAACAAATGTGAAGATGAATGCAACAAACCATTAATATATAAATGTGTTTAAAAAAGGCTCAATATGCTTTGACAGTTTCTTAGCTTTGAAACAGATAAAGAAAAAGTGATGTTACAAATTATTTATTGCAGAAAAATTCATTTTTACCATATTACTGTATGGATGTTTTGAAATTTCAAGGAATTTGTTTTGTTCTACCTGTTACATATGATGTAGTAATTTATTTATGATTGCAGCAGCATGTCAAGGCATACTGTTATACTTTTCCAGTCATTTTCATAATTCATAGTTCATCTTTCCACAGAGGGAAATGAAGTCTGTTGCTTTTTTGCATTTTTTATTCATCATTCAATAAATGTTGTGGGTATTAAGATCATTCATGACTTTGAAAATGGTACTCAAATTATTCTATGCCATTTTTATCAAGAATCTGCTCCTGTAGTGTGACAGCAAACCTGATAGAGTTGGAAAACATAACAGCCTTTTATGTGCATAATACTGCCACAGCATTGGCAAGCCTGAGCTGTTCAGAATGTTGAAGCTTATGATTGAGTTCGTGAGAGCAGGAAACCAACCTTACACTATTATGGAAGCTCTTTTAAGCATGGCAGCTGTAGCAAAATATAGTCAGGAAAAAAGTGTTCTGGGAGTTGCCAGATCCAAACAATCATATCAGTTTGGTAGACTGCAAAGAACCTCCCAACCATTTATATTCCAAGAATGGTAGATGACATACTTATCCAAAGGAACTTACAATTGGCTTGAGTGATTTGTGTGTAGGTTCTTTGTAGCAGCTGTATTGATGATAATCAAGATTGTGGGTGGTCTCGGTATTGTTGGCTGCAAATTCATTATTGATTTAATATTTTAGATTTAAGCACAGCATTTGAAAATATTGTGCATAATTGGTGTTATGTTTTAATTTCAAGTGAGTTGGATTTCTTAAAATGTTAGTATAATTTATGTTAATTGACGAAAATTTGGGAAGATTATGGTTATTGGAATATAACTCATGAGAACCATCTGCCTAAAAGGAGTAAACTGGTTCACATTCATGTCATGCATGAGGAAAACCAGCCAGCCCGTTTGTCTGGGTTTAAACTACCAGTATTCAGTGATCTTAATTACTTGGCCACTGGTGAGGTGAAAGATGGAGTTAATAAGCTAGTTAAAAAAGTATAGCTGCAAATGCGGGAAATTTTCCATTTAAGTATGCTTAACCTATTAAAACTACTCAGGTGATGTTAAAAGGTGGTAACAGCTGACAGAACGCATCATATAGTCACTTTTTTTTTCAACGCTGACCTTGTATCTCTTTACAGGAGAAGATTCAGGGAAAATTTTGGTTTCATCTGATGTGTAAATTTTTCCTTTTATTTATTTTTTAATGTCACAGGTTTGGAGAAATATTGTTGAAAATATTGTTTGAAGTTGTTTCATGCAAACACGGATGGACACTTTCTCTCAGAAAAATCTCATTTATTTATTGTGTAAGTTTCATTCATTTGAAAGGCTTTGATTGTTGGCTTTTAGCAAATTG